CCATCAAAATATCAAGGTCAGATGTTGTGATTGGCTTATTCAATGACTTGGACCAATCACTGCACTTGACCTTGAGATTTTGATGGAGTATTTAAATAGAGTGACACAGGTTTATCGAGATATTGAAGGCGAACCGATTTGAACGAGAGAGACACAATGTGAGTAAGTTTGAGTACATTAATGCCACGAATAAAGCAGGGCTCGCAAATCATGATCGCCTTTGGTTTCAACCATTAGGATAGCTCCATTTTCCCCATCGTTTTATTTGTCTATCGCTTTGTCTATTAATTTCAATATCATCCCGTTGGACCAATAAGAACTTTGGTGCCCCATATGAGCTGAAATTCAGTCCTTGTAATTGGAGTTTTTTTTCTCAGTGACCCCGACAGTGAGCAAACATCGAGATACTCATTGAAATGTTTTTTTTTTTTTTTTTCTAAACTAAGCGTTTCATTATAAATGCTTAGGGAAAAAGCAGATCCATGAAGCCTGGGACTCATAATGTGGTTTTCTAAATTTATTATTTGAATTAATAAGAACAGAATTGAGGGGCTTGGAGGACCAGTAGGATAGGTGCAGTTTTTGAAAAAAATGAGATATTACTGATTTCAACTGAAACAAGTATTAATATATATTCTGTGAAAAATTCATCGCCAAAATCCAATTTTTAAGCATCAAAAAGTGAGTTTGAATTTTTTTTCCGCCATAAGACTCTATGTAATTTTTAAACTTTGAACGCGTAATTCTTGAAACAGCAACGAACAGTACTTATGCGCCTTGTCCTCCAAGCCCCTGAATATGGTTTTTTATTTGTTTCTATTTTGTCAATAGATGTGTCAGCCTCACTGATACAAGCACAACTTGACAATGGAGCCGCTAAAATTAACTTTTTGGGGAGAGGAAAATCAAGTTGGTAGAAAGTACAATAAAATGGACATGGGGGTAGAGTCAGCTGAGGGGACCTCATAAGTGAGACGGACATTCTCCGGGGGCGGGGGAAGGGTTGGGGGGAGGAAGGCAGGGCGCGTAGGCGGCGAGTCGTGGTGTTTTCCCGATTCTTGACTGGTGAAAACTTATTTTTAGCTCACCGTTGCCGCGTTTATTTTCTGAGTTATCTTCTGAGTTTTCAGTAATTTCACAGAATTGCATCCATTCAGTTTATTCGCAAAGCAGAGCGGATCTACCTGCAAAGAGGAAACAATGTCGTCAATGTTCGTCAGAAACAATGTATCATCCATCACAGGGCATTGATTATATATTTTTTTTTTTTTTTTTTTTTTTTTTTTTTTTTTTTNTTTTTTTTTTTTTTTTTTTTTTTTTTTTTTTTTTTTTTTTTTTTTTTTTTTTGATTGCTTTTGTGCTAAAGTACCCATTCGCCATTATATACTTTTTAAGTGCGACAGAGGATCGTCTGACTTCAGATTAACATTGAGAGCAAACACACTCCTCTGTTTTTGCAGTTTCTTTCAAGTATGATGCTGTATTGTCAGGCTCGAACTGGCCATAAAGTCAGTATAACATATTACCTTTAAACATATTTCTTCTTTTCCAAAATGACTATTGATTTGGACATACTATAGCATACCTCGGTCAAACTTTACCTTGAATTTATCTCGAAATTAAAAAAATAAGAGACATCTAAAATAGGTATAAACGCGATACAACTATATGCTATTCGCGCAAGATATGGATGTTCACATAATGAAACATGATATGATAAAAATATAAGACGAGATGGCGTATGATATGAGTCGTGAGCTCGCAATGCTCTGCTCTATGCATGCTACTAGTTAGAAGCACCATTACGAATAAGACAAACGGAAACAAACACAATATGCAAATAGAGAGAGAGAAAGGATGCGCGTTCACGACGGCGCAGAGATACAACTATTCGTACTTGATGGCCGTCTGTGCTGCATCTAAAAAATTGAAGGCGCGATGACGCGAAGCGTGAGCTCTCAATGCTCTGCTATACGCTGTGAATGAGGTGTCGCTGAGATTCGGGAGAAAAGTTAAAAAAGAGGCCCAAACGCATCTCTCCTACCTTCGGCTATGTTATTCACGTAGTGCTTGAAGCACCATTACAAATAAGACAAACGGAAACAAGCACAAAACGGAAATAGAGGGAGGGAAAGGATGCGCGTATACGACGGCGCAGAGATACAACTATTCGTACTTGATGGACGTCCTGCTGCATCTGAAAAATTGAAGGCGCGATGACGCGAAGCGTGAGCTCTCGATGCTCTGCTAGATCTCGGGAAGGAAGTTAAAAAAGATGCCCGAATACTTCTCTCCTGTCTTCGGCTGTGTTGAAATTCGTCCTTTCTTCTTTTCTCAGGTCTTGTCTGATTCTTTTTCAGGATGGATTTGCAGACCCACGCTTTAAGCTCGTGTATACCGCAGCACTGGCTCGGTTCTTTTGGAAATAATGGTGCTTGGATGCGTCGAGTGGCTTTAATTTCTTGAGTTTTCTTTAATTTCAGAAGTCTGCCGGTTACTTCAATACGTTCAATTTTGCAAGTTTTACTCTGTGCGATTAAACCTGAAAATAGCGTAAACTTGTGCTGCTTTTCCAAAATTTCCTGAGCCCCTCTCCACGTAGGGGGAGCCCTACCAAAAAATATCACATTACGTCCCTTTAACCAGCCAAGGGTCTACCCCTTCAGATGCGAGCCAGTCCGACCCTGTGTATCGTCGTTTCTAATCTCGCCAAAGACAGAGAAAAGGGCCTTACGCCACCACCAGGACTCTGAAGACCATCGGTTGGACTTCACTTATGATGCTGAAGTTTTAGCTTCTGAGAAGCATTATTTTCCGAGGGTCCTACTTGGGATGGTTCACATAGAAACAAAGAAAAATAGATAGAAAGTTTAGAGATAAATTTTCAAATCACCACGCTGATGTAGATGGACTCCGTAGCATTTTCAGTTCTTCCTTTTGGACCTAGATGAAGCTGGAACACCTGAGTGATCTCTGTTTTGATGTGATTTGTTTCCAGTGCACCTGCTTATTTAGGTTGGTCGCACTATCAGTCTCACAATAACAGCGATGAGGCTCATGATGTGGTTTTTTTTTTAATTTTAATTTTTCCAAAATAAATTGGTTGAAAATGCGGGTTTTATCACCGCGAGATGTACCAGGTGTTTTTATTTTGTCTTAATTTTATTTATTTTTGCGGCCTGAGTCCCATTTTAAGTTGTTTCTGTAATCTCGTCAAACATAGTGCGGCCGCCGCGCTGGTCGGCGCGGCATGCATATTAGCGCCTACAAGACTGCAAGAATACTTCAAGCATTGCGCCTAACAAAGGGCGGCCGCCGAGCATAGCCGAGTAATGAGCATCATGACTGTCGTAACAACATTCTCGATTTGAAAAGTACAGTCCGGTACTATTTTAGGTTTTTAACTATTTTTATTTTTATTCATCCAACTGCGGATGGCTGAATTTTCAGCCGAAACGTTTTGGTCTTGTTAGTGAACTTTTAGCCTTGTTACCCGCTTTTTAAATTGTTCTTTATTGTATATCTTGTCAAGGGCTGTGGAGCATCTATCTTACTAAATTTTGGAAAAGCAGCACAAGTTTAAGCTATTTTCAGGTTTAATCGTACAGAGTAAAACTTGCAAAATTGAACGTATTGAAGTAACCGGCAGACTTCTGAAATTAAAGAAAACTCAAGAAATTAAAGCCACTCGACGCATCCAAGCACCATTATTTCCAAAAGAACCGAGCCAGTGCTGCGGTATACACGAGCTATTAAAGCGTGGGTCTGCAAATCCATTCTAAAAAAGAATCAGACAAGAACCTGAAAAAAGAAGAAAGAACGAGTTTCAACATAACCAAAGACAGGAGAGAAGTATTCGGGGATTCGGGCATCTTTTTAAAATTTCCTCCCGAATTCTAGCAGATCATTGAGAGCACACGCTTCGCGTCATCGCGCCTTCAATTTTTCAGATGCAGCATTCGAGATATGCCATGGTATGTCCAAATCAATAGTCATTTTGAAAAGAGAAATATGTTTAAAGGTCTCTCAAGAGGTCTATGAAGGGTGCGTATGTCTAAAAATCAAACCGACCATCGCTTCTAAGGGATTTACACATAGCGAATGAAAAAAGGGGATGAGAAAGCGCCTGTTTTGTCAGCAAATGACAATTTCACAGAAAAGTGATTACGCCTCAGAAAGTGGTTCATAGACCTTTGTTCACCATTAGCATGCGTGAAAGCTGCAGCTTTCTTTACCCCTAACTCTCACTTCTTCCGTTCATTTAAGAAATTTTCCACGTATATTCTCGGTCATAATTTTTTCTCTCTTCTCATTTTTTATTTTCTTATTTCTTTTTATTTTTTCTCTTCATTAGTCAGAGGGGCGCGTTTTCGGCGCGCCAATAGGGCATCTGCCAATGGCAGATTGGCCTTACGGCCAGTCTGAGCCTGACGATACAAGTTCATATTTGAAAAAAACTGCGAAAACAGAGGAGAGATAATAAGTTTCGCACGGAAAAAAATTGAATTTTGCTTTTTCATCTGTAGGTACTAGGTAATGTTTATAAAATGTGCGACAAGTTTAAATGCTGATATAAAAAAAAAAAAAGAAAGAAAAAAAAAGGAAGAGGAAGCTGCACTTTTTTGAACAGTATAAACGCTAAATCAAAATTCAATTTATACTTTTTTTCCGTGTTGAAGAATGGATGTACTCTATGATCGAAAATTTAATGGAAACAAAACGCAAAGGCTAGTGCGAGTTTTTCACCCGTGAGAAAAGGACTCTCATCGGAGGAAAACTTTGACGTAAATAGACAGCGTTTACTTGCCAGCAAAAAATTACTTTCCAACGCAAGCAAACCGCATTTCCGCCGCGGGAACTTCACCCCTTTTCCGGTTCCGGTCACGTCGGTAGCGGAGCGGTCAGTTCCGGTTACCTCCCGAGCGATTCCTAGTTCGATGACGGAACTGATGGAGCTGGAGCGGAATTTCAAAACCGGGAGCACGCCGAGCCGCGGAACGTGGCAGTGGATCGTCATGAAAACAACAAGTGAGAAAAAGAAAACAAATGAAGTGATTCTTTCAGCTGTCTCAGTGCTCCGCATAGTTTATCGATCAAATTCTCAGTTATATCAGCGATTCAAGTAGCCTTCTTTTCATCTGGACTTCATTGTCTTGCGAGTTGTCAAACTTTCAACCGAATCAGGAAGGTAATGATCCTGCGTCAATGACGTGATTCCAGTGTCCGGTTGTCGGGTAGCGCGTTTGCGTTCATGAACATGGCGAGCCTGGGCATACGGCGTGTTGATAAGCGGCTCTTTCCCATCCTCAGCGTGGAGTCCGTCGTTGCCTTGTTCAAAGATGAGCTGAATCAGGACGAACCTGATCTAGCCCTGCTGTCCATCATCTCCGGTGCCATCGAAAACTCCATGACATGTAACCGTTCGACCACCCTGAATGGGGACCAAGAGGAGTACGAGGAACCTAAACTCCCTGGAATCGAGTTCCATATCATTGAAGCACTGTATGAAAAGTTCTCTGCCATTATCAAGGGCTCCATCGACATGTCGACTTTTGGGGATATCAAGTACGCCTCGCGAGAGCTGGTCAAAAGAGTGTCGGACGTTATCTGGAACACTCTTACGCGAAGTTACTACAAGGACCGTGCGCATCTTCAGAGTCTCTATAGTTACCTCACAGGTTATTATGCTTTGCACTCTTATTGAACCTTTATTTTAGCCAGGCTCTTGGTGGTTTAGTAGTTTGGTGCACCACTGATGTAGGCAGCGTCAATCAATTGCTTTGTCGATGATGCTGACCGTCTTATTGCTTGCTCACACTGCACTGGAACAACCACTTTTTAGCATTTTGTTTTTCAAGTTTCATGGAATTGTTAGTGAAGTCCAAGGAATCTTAATTTTACCATAGTCAAAAGTGCATTTCGCCGGTGAAAGTCGGCAATCACATAACTCGTTTGCGGTGTCTGAAAATCTCCGCCCCTACGTCATTTTCTTAAAGGAGAACGAATTGACATTATTGCTTGAAGTTTTTGCAGAGTTTTCTTCTCATTGAGAAGAAAAATCATGACAGTTTGAAAGAGTTGCCGTTGAGTAGTTTTGCCATTTAAAAAATAAAGTATGACAGGAAGTCTACAACGTCGCAAACCAAGTTATGTGATTGCCGACTTGCACCGTCGATTTGCTAAATTATCTCTTTACAATGCTGTGCCGTACCGCCCTCTCCGGAAAAAAAGAAAAAAATTCAACATCAATGGCAATGTTGGTTTGTAATAAAAGCCCTTTTCTGTAGTAGTGTGCACGTTATTAAAAGGAGACTTCATTAACATTGATCTGAGACCACTAGTTTGATTTTTAAAAGAATCTTTCTATACTAGTAGTTTAAAGTGATAAATAGCAGAGAATTCAGTAGTTCTTATGCCTACAGTGGATCAAGCAGGCCCATTGACAATTCTTTGAGTAAGATTAATTATCTCCTTTGATTCATCTCTACCGTATAAGCTGAATAGTGGTTTGGTACAAGTATGGCACCTATTTTTAGTCCGCATTATGAGCGAACCTATTTCCATGTATGCTAAGTCTTCACTCAAAGCCCCTGTGACTTTGTGTAAGCCTCACAAACTAACAAACAAATCAACTACAGTTAGGGTCTAAAAAATACCCATAATTTCTGCACTTTCCTGTTTTATGTGGTTCAAACTGGAAAGAACCTAGAATAGCTGAGCCAGATCGATGAGATTGAGGTTGCCACATTGTTATACCTCAGAAACTGTCACGGTAACGTTTAATGTGCAGTTTAGCTCAATTAGATCATTGTTTTTTTTTTAAACACTGAAAGTCTGAACTTTATCTAAACGACAATATTGTGCTAAGGTGTTACTTTCACTAATTTTTTTCGCAAAAATTGTGTTCTATGTGAAATTTTGACAAGATTAATTCATATCGTCATGCTGAAAATCATCCCTTCTCTGATGGGCCATCGGCTATTAACGGAATAAGCATCATTCATTATCAATTGATCTGTACCTACAAATATCAAAAATCACTTATGCGGATCTCAAGTTTTTTTACGAAGGTTGAATGTTGAGGGGAAGTCTAGAGACGTTGAATTGACTGTATCTAATCAACAGTGTTGTGTGATGAGAATCATTTTATCTTACCTTAGTATGAATATTGTATTCTGTATCAAGATTTGCACAATATTCTGACCTTGTACATTTATGAATGCATCCGCTTGCATTATGTTATCTCTCCCTTGAGTAGATATAATCTGCCGAGTAAATTTGTGATTTTTTTTTATAAAGAATTTACAAATGGCAATATTTACATGAGAGATATTCCTTCCTATTCCAGGTTAACGAATGATTTTTGCCAACGTATTAAAATAGCGTAAAACCTGATTTCCTAATTCAATTGTAAGTACACTTGGGGAAAAAAGCAAAATGAAGCTACTTCTTAAATAACCTCTCTTAGTTGAGGATTCTCGTATCTGAGCCACTTTCTCTCCACGGGGGCTCTGGTGTGACCCCTTTTCTAAATGTCCCCCTTTTTTTCGATTTATATCATTCCTTAAGCATGTTGAATTTGTATTAATTTACAGCGTTTCTATGAACATACAGTAACGGGTGTGAGCCTTTATAATTCATTTAAAATTGCTTGATTTTGTTCTCAGAATTTTGTAGTGTTAAATTTTGGAGAGGCATATCAAAGTACCTAAAATAGATGGATTTCAGCCCCTCTTGGTCTTTTTTCATAACAATTTGATAGCACTAAGCTGAAGGCACACCCACATACCAGCGAAGAGTGTTTAAAGAAACAATGCAATGTTTACATATTACTTCAGTAAATTTGTATTTTTTCAAAAGTGTTTGCGTTTCAGTAAGATATTCCCTTCAAAATACCGATTTTGATGAGGATATTTCCTCATAGTACGAAAGACTAACACCGGGGTTGACAGCCTCAGTTTTTGTAATTTTAACTTTGCCCTGTTGCTACAGGAAGATAAGCCAATCCTCCAAATCACTGTCTTTGAAAGTTTTAAGTATTGTAAAAACTGCAAATCCAGCTTCTAATGTATTTAGTCAGGGGTTCTGGGAACCCAAAAAATCTGGAAAGTCAGAAAATGTATAGTTACCTGGAACAGTGAGGGAAACTTGCAAGCAGTGTTTAACAGGAGTCAGCTTAATTGAAAAGGGAAAAACCTCAATGAAAATTTTGTTCCCATCTGAGGGAAAGTCAGGAAATTTAAAAATTTTGAAGTCAGGGAGAAAGTAAAAAGGTCAGGGTATTTGTAACGAAGAAAATTATTGAGATCCTACTCAGCAACGATGAAGTAGATTGGACATCCTTAAAACTAGCTCAAATGTCTAGAAGCTTGAAGTTTGTTGATTGTAACATCCCAGTTGTATCATCAAACGTTTCTTACGTTTTATCATTTTCTTTTTGGAACACAGGGAACAAACTGGACTGTTTTGGAGTTGCTTTTGCAGTAGTTGCTGGTTGTCAGGCCCTAGGTTTCTTTGATGTCCACCTCTCACTCTCTGAAGATCACGCATGGGTTGTTTTTGGTGAAAATGGATCTCAGACTGCAGAAATCACTTGGCATGGTAATAACCAAGTTTTTGTTTTGATAGTACAAACCCCTATCTTTTGTCTGTGAAATAGTTCAACTACCAAAATATGTAAAAGAAAATCTAAGACTAAAATAGTGCAATAAGCAAAACTGATGGACTGATGAAGTTAAGAATGATATAAATTTTATCTTACATATACTTACAAATGCCCCTATCATCTGTGACTCTACATACCTAAAGGCCGCAAGGAGGTCTGCAGGACAAAAATAGGATGGTCTAGATAAAGCAAAAGCAAACTTGAAAAGTTTCGAATTTTGGCAGTACTCAAAAGGAGGAGAGAGCGCATCGTCTTCGTAACTGTTGCAAGCAATATTTTGTCTGAGAATTGTTTGTATCCTCTACTGCTTTAAAATGGAGGATGCAGATTTCAGGTATTATTCTTGTTCACTAAACCAAAATGAATAAAAGATTTTCAAGCGCACCCAATCCACTAATAAAATGTTTTTGTTTCTACTTAAAATACGTTACTAATCCGAGTTTTTCCCCAGAAAATGTAGTAGGGGGTCTGCGAGTTGCCGCAAAAGTAGGTGCTTCAAATCATAATTGGGAACACTTGTTAGGTTACTGACATGGTCAACCTCCTTTTCTATGAACCCATCAAAAAAATATTTGCACCAGCCTTCTCAAGTGCAGCAGCTACCAACTCACAGCTTGCAGGTGGCTTGGAAAATAGTTAAATCCCCGAAAATAGCCTAGCTCTGAAAATATTCCATTGCGAGCAAACCTAATCTGTCTAATGCTTTATTTCTTGAAATCGTTTCAATTCATATGAAACGATCTGCCTGACATGAGGAATCCATGCTGGCTATTTGTCTTGCAGATGAATATTTTGCTAGAGAAACAGCGTAGAAGAAATAATTAAATATCTCTAACAGTATTCTAAAATAGGTTTCATATTTTTAGGGAAAGGAAATGAAGACAAGCGAGGTCAACCAATTGGTATTGGAGTAGCCTCCAAATCATGGCTGTATTTGAATGGTCATCCTGTAGTCTGCAATCGGCATATGGAGGTCGCAGCGCTGGTATCTTCTATCAACCCAAGTCTTAGTGTTTCCTCAGATTCTCTGGAAGTTGCTATGCTCCAGCAAAAATTATTATGGTTATTGTACGATATGGGCCACCTGTATCGATACCCAATGGCCATTGGTGAGTTATTAAAATATAACATTTGTCATCCTCAACAGGAAATAGGACCACAGTTTACAAAACTTCAAAATTTAGTTATTAATACCATAGCATAGAGAACATATCAGAGTATTGTATGTACCAATAACATGGAACCATAATACTTGTAACTGTCCAACCTAATTGAAGTCAAGGAAGTTGGAATGTTGAATTATAATATAAGTAGTTTTAAGGAGAATCGTCTAAAATTTTGATCTGTAGTGTTAACAGCTCAAAAATTGCAGGATTACTGTACAATTCTATGCTCTATGCTGGCACTAAACTGTTCGCGTTGAATGTTCTGTGAATTATGGTCCTTTTACCATAGACGATCACATATGTCTTCAAAAATTACACATCTACGTTTAAAATCTCTTATTTTTTTGGAAGTGGAACAAAATATAGTAAATACAGTAGAAACTGCATGTAACAGAACGCATCGGGATCGGCCGAATGTTACGTTGTAAGCGGGATTCTGGTACAAGCGGTTTTCGTGTAAATATTGAGCTCTATGCGGCAACAGCGCAGCCCACACCTCTCTGCAATAACTGGGTCCGTCTTCACGCTGCCTGATGCTGCGTCAATACTGCTAAGCACCTGATTTCTTTGGATGTTACTTAATTTTATGATGAGCGGAAGAAATAAATTCACTCTTATCAAATACGAAACGGTAAAACTAATCCATGCAACAAGCTGTAATTTTTTTTAAAACTGATGTGAAATAATGTTAATAAATTTTGGGTGAATACAGCAATGATTGACAGTTGAAATCTCTCAGGGGTCATCCGTATTGTTTACGTCACGTGCCTAGGGAGCAGCGCCGGCGTCTGCGATTTCATGCGTGACGTAAGTCTCTCAGTCTCTTGAAGATCAAGCACGCAACCGACAAGGAATTTACCTATGCCACCAATGATGACTGGATGGTGTTTCCGTTATATCAAGTTCTTGGAATAACCATCCGACGATAGACTGCGTAATGTTCTGAAACGCGGCACAGAAATATTTTGGGAAAATCTCGTTTATATTGGAATTTTTTCGATAGGGGACCAAAATTCTTTCTGCTATAAGCGGGTTTCAGATATAAGCGTTTTTGATGTATGCAGGATTATTTTACATTGTTCTTAAGGGCGAAAAAACGGGACTGCGCGAAAATTACGATATAAGCGGGATCCTGTTATAAACATTTGTCATTAAAAGCAGTTTCTACTGTAATAGTATGCATTATGTTTTATTGGAAGCATGTTAGCTTCTTTTTTCGGGGGTCTTTTATAGATTTTGATAAGCTTCTGATGTCAATTTTGTTCATAACTTTGTTTAACTTAAATTTTACACAAATATTACTGGAAAAATAATCAAAAGGTATACATTTTATCAATTTGTTTACATTTTTTTCAAAGCCGAACTATATCAGTCAATGCCTCAATGCCACTAAATTCTGATTTTCCTGCTTACTAATTAGACGCTTTTTATGTCCATTATATCCTCTAATATGAGCCAAAAACTGCTTTCTTTTTTGGATGCTGTTTGCTTGTCTGTCACTCCTTAATGTTTTATTGTTAGGTAACCTCGGCGACTTGGAAGAAATTAGTCCAACTCTCGGTCGACCACCTTGTTCCTCGCTGTTTCAAGAGGCGATTCTGATGTCAAGGAAGTACTACAACAATATGCACGTTTACCCGTATACATACCAAGGTGGTTATTTCTACAGACACAATCTGTATAAGGAGGCTTTCCAGAGCTGGGCAAACGCCAGTGATGTCATCAGGCAGTATGTTCATTCTTCTTATCATCCTTAATTTATTTGAATCCTGGCTTTAAATTTGAATGATTGGTGCCTCTTCTAAAATCAAAAGTACATGAGACTTTAATTGAGAGATGTGAAGGACAAGGCGCGTAAGTGCAGTTATTGCTATTTCGAGAAGTACATGTTTGAAGTTTCGAAATTGCATGGATCCTTATGGTTGAAAGGCAGTTCAAACTGACTTTTTGATACTTAAAAATTGAACTTAGTGAGCAAATTTTTCACTGAATATGCATCAAGACTAGTTTTACTTGAAATCATTAATATCTCAATTTTTTCAAAAAGTGTACTTGTGTGCCTTGTGCTTCAAGCCCCCCAATTAAGGAAGAGTTGAATATTTGGTGGTACTTGATGAAAAGTTTTTGTCTTGCAATGCTTATGAGCAATTAAAACCAAAGGCGGTCACAAAAATCCCCCCCCCCGCCTCCTCATTCTCCTGTCCCTGAAAAATCATCATTCCTAACCACCCCTGGTTAAAGGGACCTTAGTCTTTGGAGGTCAAATTTTCAGCGCAGTAATTTCTATTAAGCTACGTAGAAAGATCAAATATAAATTTTTCTTCCGAAAAGGCTCTCTCGTGTTCCAAAGACTAATTTACTAGTGCTTTTGTGTATTTTTGTATGTATGTGCCAATTGAACTCGCGAGAAAAAACACTAAAAAATGACCTGAACTGTATGTAACTAGGTGGAGAAATGGTGCGGGGGTCACATCATTTCTCGGGGGAAACAAAGCCAAGAAACCAAAAAAAAATTTCAATTTGTGTCCAAAAAATGGTTGCTGTAATGAGTAACAGTGCAAGACTGAGGGGAAGAGTGAGCTCAGGCAGCTTGCATTGGAATATTAAGTTGAGGTCATACCGAGAGGTCCATACCGGTTTGGGTCTTTAAGACCTCATCAGTACATCACACTCGTCAGTGAACCCAACCCAGCATTCCGCAAAATCTAAGACTACATGGAAATGCCGTCATAATATGACCCGAGGCAGGACTCAAGAGAGTGATCCTCTCGCCATCTACCGACCCAGCACTACAAGGTCTGTTAGATTAGAAACCGGATTTTGGTCATAACTAGCCTACTGTGCGTCGAAATTAAGTTTTCTTGATTTTTTCTGATAGCTGAAAATATACTTAAGAACGCTACGTTCACAGATTTGAAAAATCTTAATTTGCTTCGTTGGTATGTGGCTTCAAGTACGGCAACCTCATGGATGTTTAGCGATTTTTATGTTTGACCGAACTTGTCTCTCTTTTTTCGGTCTTGCACTACATTTTTCAATACACAAGGATGATTGGAGTTTCGTCTCCGTATCTTAGCCGTACACTCAAGTATTATCATCGAAAATTATCCTATCCAAAAATGTAGGATCATGGTTAGAACGTTCAAGCAGCTACAGGGAAATTAACATTTGGTTGAATTTTGTTCAACGGACAACAATCAAGGGGCAAGTGTACCTGAAACTCGATGCATGTCTACATATTCAATCAAAATTGTATGTACAGAGCCTTCAGAAATATTACACTGTTCAGCAAGCTCGAAACGACCATTTTCGAGACTTTTGCCCGCACTTCTTCCACGTGACAAATGTTAGTTGCCGTTGATGGTCGATTCCCATGCTCCTCATCTTTGACGAACTCCTGACCAGTTTTGAATCGTTTAACCCACTCAAAATAGTGAGAACAACTCATATAATGATCTTGGTAAACTTTACTTAGCATATCAAAAGTTTCGGTACAAGGTATACCGAGCTTAAAACAAAATGTAATGTTAAATCTTTGCTCTGTCAGTGATCGTATGATGAAAATCGCAAAACGCACCTGACTTCCTCGTATTCAAGATGACACAGAATAAACACTGATCAAAATAAACAAAATCTGTGAACGTAGCGTTCTTTAATATGTTATCAGCTATCAGAAAAGTCTAAGAACATCTAATTCAGACGCACAGTAAGCTAGTTATGACCAAAATCCGGTTTCTAATCTAACAGACCTCGTATTTCTCCACATTGTTCCAATTAAACAAGTAGAGTTGCATTTTTCCATTAATTTTGTTTCCTGAAACTGGTAAAATAGAATTCTACATGGTTTTTTTGAGACTTTTTTTGACTTGTATATTTTGAACTGACTCAACTCCAGTGTGGCTTGACATTTTTGGTCGTTTCAGTGTGCTTTTTCGAAGGTAAATACACCACATATTGGGATCTTCCGTGGTAACAGCCTTAAATCTTCAGAGGAGCAGCAATCCCTGACTGTAGATTACAAACATGATTGCCATTGAGATTTTTCTTCCCGCAATATATATGTATATTCTTGTGTGTCATATTCATATCTATGTAGGGATAGTTAGTTAATCTTCTTAGAGAAATTCAGCATCTTAGGCTATTCATGTCTTTTCAGAAAATATGAAGGGTGAGTGCAAGTACAAAAATTTAGATTCTTAACTTAATGGAAGCAAAAAATGTCCAAATTTTGGTTGTGGTTGGTTGGTAAATAGTCGTCTTTTTTTATGCCATCGGTCGCCATCAGTCGCCGTCACTGCGCAATCATTCGTGTTTTGTTTCGTTGATGCCATCAGAAATGGGCGGAGCTTAGTTTGTCAAACTGAGCTAGACCATTAGTCACGTGACGCTTTGACGCCATCAGCCGCAATCACTCGTCACCCGAGTCCGGAGTGTCTCCATGGAGCACCATCAGTGAAACCTAACCTCTAACAATTTTTTAGTAGCGTAATCCCGTGATTGGATAGAGAAAAATGGGCGTAACCATCAGTCGCAATCACAGCGATGCCATCGGTAAGCGACCGACGACATAAAAAAAGACGACTATCCACTTAATTATGAATGTATCTATTTGAGGATCTATTTTTTTCTACAGGAAATAGCAGTCTTGAGAGAAAATTTTCCAATTTTAAAAACATCAGAAAACAGTTTTACAATGTGAAAAAACAACTTCGCCTATGTCTGTTGTAAAGCTTAATAAAATGAAAAAATCAGCCATTTAATAAAACAATATTTGTGTGTCTTAACTAGGTAGTAATGTTTATTAATTTTTTTGGCTCTTCTATTGCAGGTATAATTATTCGCGAGATGATGAGGAAATCTACAAGGAGCTAATGGAAATTGCCAACGAGCTCATACCACACATAATCAAAGTCGTTAGTTCTGGTCATTGTGCGCGCTCGATCTTGAAGGATCCGGAGTGCTTTGCACATCTGCTTCGCTTCTATGATGGGATTTGTCAGTGGGAGGAAGGAAGTCCGACGCCCGTTTTACACATCGGTTGGGCCAAACCTCTCGTCAATACCATTTCAAAATTTGATGCGGATGTTCGGTCGCAGGTATACCACTACTTAAATTTTCACCTTGTGATAGATTAAATTCTTTCGAAGACAATTTTGAAATTTTGAATGATTACTGCTGACTTCAAAGAGGAGAAAAAAAACTGACCTAAGCGTATTTTTTAACTTTACTACATTTGCCAGTAGAGCACACCCTAAAAAAAAATGAACCCCAGCTATGGTCGATGCTACAAATCTGAGAGGATAGAGCAAAGTCAAAATGAGCGGTGCCTTTTCTTTTTTATTGGCTTTGGTGCGCTGGGTCTGTTTGACTAAGCCATTATACTTTTGTTTCAACCCTTTTTTGGCTAGTTTCAACCCCTAGACCAAGTCCATAACTTACTGACCATACCCTTCACCTGCCTGTTTTTGTTCAGCCTACTACATTATCAAATAAAAAAAGAGGAACATCCCACAGATGATCATCTGGATTGCATTTTGCAAAAAGGAACCACTAGCATTGCAATGATGCTAAGATTGTGCAACTTCATCCTTTGCAATAAAATTGCGGAAATTGTGAAAAACTATGAAATTCAGATGGTAATTTTTATCTTAAATTCACAGTTTTTAGCGAGTAAAATAGAAACTAATAATGGATAATCGGGTTTTTCCTCCGAGACAAAAGAAGTTGCACAATCTTAGCAACATTGCAATGCCAGTGGTTCCTTTTTGCAAAATGCAATTCACCTAATTAAAGCAAATCTTCCTTGACCCTGAAACTGTTACATTTTCCAATGCTATCAATGCTTGACTAGTTTGTTTTTGTCCCATCAGGTTGTGATCTTAGGGCAAGGAATTGTAGACGAAGATTCAGACGAGAACTGCAATGTGTCGCAGAATGGAGACAAAAGTAAACAACTTCTCAACAATAACAACTATTGTGATGTCACTGACAATGTAACATGCGAAGAACTCTCAAGTGACTTGGGCACGGAGAAAGACTCTAACGGCATGCACCCAGGGCTTGTGGCCTTAACGGCAGCTTGCGGTGAAAAGATTCTCAACCGTGATTTTCTCCTCCAAGGAGACGGAGAGCCTTTCGTTGGCTCCACCTCGGACATAGCAGGCACTTCGACAGACCCGGCTGGCACAGAGGATGTTTTGAACGAGACTTGCCGTCAACCCAAGCTGATCCTGCACAGTCAAAAAATGCGAGGGCTTAAAGAGCTTCTTCTGAGTGAAAAATTAAATACGCACGCCATCTCATTACAGCTGACGGCGCAATCTCAGGTACAATTTGGTGGCAAGAAGAGAGATTCCACCGAATCAATTGGATCTCGCTCAAAGCGCACTAGGAGAGAGTGAAACTCTTCAGCCTAGCTGTTTTTTATTCCTATTATTTTCTACATGACTTCCCATTTACTGAAGTAAGGCTGTATATTTGTTGAATTGTTAAATTTCTTTTTCTTTTTTTTAGTATTTAGAGTACAGGAAATTCTTTTCTCTTGAGAAAATGAACCATCAATAATGAAGTAATACTGAATTTCAAATAATGTAGAGCGTACATCGTTTTTCATCTAATATAATTTTGGCTCTCAATTATGTCCTTTGCACCCTGAGAATATAGACAACATTTCACTGAAAATAAAAAACTAAGACAGCATAATGACAATCATATAAAATCACAGTAAAACAGCATCATGCATCAAGTATTGAAAGACGATCTTTCAAAAATTCTCTGAGTAATAACGTCAACAGAAAATCTTCAGAGGTTTATGTAAATAATTGTTTGATAGCTCGATATTCAGAATCATTCCATGTTTCTCCTATGATTCATTGCAAATTCTCATCCTGATTTTGAAGAGCTACCATGGCAGAAATATAAACTGAAAAAGATTAAGTTAGTTTCTCTCTCAATAGAGCTGTTGTCCGCAAGAGATTCTCACAGCAAACCGAGTGAACTTTTTAGAGGTAACATTGCACAAGAATCTCATTGAGCACTTACACAGGAACGTCCAAAATACACTCTTAAACACACAATTTGTGTGTCATGAATTTTTTGTAATTTAACAAATTTATTGTAATTTTGTATCACGAACTTTCAAATTTATTTTGCAGATGTTTCTCCTTAATTTGAAGAGATTGTTTCCAGAGACAAATGTTAGGAAACCATACCTAAAAAAACAAGCAATCTTGCAGCGTCTTATGAATCTTCTTTATGTATGACTACAGTAATGCTAACGTTAATATGTTTTTTTTTTTTTTTTCACACCCAGATTAAGAGGCAAAATCAAATGCATTAAAATGATTGAAATCCTCTGTGCAACAGATTTTAAATCACTGAGTTCAATAAAGCCACCAGCCACCATATACAGGAACGCCGCCGAAATCAATTCTTGAATGTTGCATTCCTAGCCTTTTCTTCGGTGAAAGTGTGAACCAAACATAGTTTTTTAACTTGGCCGGAAGAACTATGGAAGAACCGCAGGCTGCGAGTGGTTTCAGAGATTTTTTAATTTAAATCGATCATTATTTTCGCGAACTTTGGAAAATTATATTGACCCAAGTCATAAAAAATTCAACATATGGAATAAATTTTATACCTATATTTTCTAATTGTAGCCTTTAGCTGGGACCCTGAGCATATGGCATTGTCAGTTGCTGCACTTTAGTCTCAGAGGCTTTGGACAAAACAGCCTCAAAAAGTGAATTCAATAGCGCCCCAGTGCTTAGGATCTCTAACGCACGCTATGTTTAGAACAGATGTGAGATTATTTGTTTATTTCGGTTTGATTTTTTGCATCTCTCTTTCGGCAAATCAGATTTCCAGTGAGATAGAGAAAAGTGCTAGCAGACGTGGTAAATGTTAAAATGCATGTTGTAAAATGCGAACTGCGAGGCAAGGAGTGGATTTTAGAAATTTCTGATGTGCGCTTCGTGCGATTTTACTCATATCACAGTTTACTCGGTTAACTTCATCTCTTGCGTGCAACTCACCCATTGATGGTTCTCATTCTCTAGAGTTCAAGTATTTAAAAAAGATATCCGTCATTCATATCCCTGAATTGCGTATTATATATTCTTCTGTCAATTTCTTCCCCCCCCCCCCAAAAAAAAAAAAGAATTCACTGTTTAAGATTTCTATGGCAAATCATCAACTTTTTCAAATTATTGTAATTTGAGCTTATGACAATTTTGATTTCTAGCGTTTTTGCGCTCGTACAATTTGAGCAAAGCATTCTTACCAAAATAGGAGATTTTGATTTTGATTTATTTCTGTTGATTTGGTTTTTTAGTCATCTCGAATGTTCTGAGTTTTTTTTTTTTGCTTTATATTGGGGAAGTTGTCTGGGGAAAACTGGGCAGACAATTGATCTACTCCCCTTTATTTTAAATCTTATCCTTTTTTGGAAAATTTTTATCAAGTGTGATTAATTTTAGAGCATCTTGCATCACTGTGGATAGTTAAGTAATCTTTTCAATGAAAGGGTGAAGGAATTTTCCTCAGAAAGTTCAGTTATTTTACCGGTAGGAGATTCCTTTATTGCTTGAAATTGCAACACCTTGCTCTTTCGTGAAGCACCGGCCATTTCCTGTTTCAGTGCCGTTTTTGAAGCAGCATTCAAGCGAAAAATATCGCTGAATTAATTTTTTTTTTTTTTTTTTTTTTTTTCGAAATTGAGCATAGATCATATAATTTGTTCCCAATAATAAGATTTTCTCTTGTTATTCTTTACTAATGCATAATTTCATATTTTGCTCTTGGTGAAAATCAACCGTTCCTAATTACATATGTATTCACTTTCCAATGAGTCCATTAACTTACTCCAATTCATGCACTATATTGTGATTTTCTCAATTTCTCCATGCATAATCTCGAAAGTTATCTTTTATCTTGACGGCTTCAAACTTTACAGAACCTCAAAATTGTCAGAGATTCAATCTAGATGAGAGGTTGATTTGAAGAGTATTTATTATTTGTTAATCCGTGCATATTTTAGTCGTAGAAAGTCAATTTGCTTCCCGTTAATCTCTTGGTCTCTGGTTAAACCTATCACTTAATGCTGGTTTGTCCCTATGTTTGTACCTGTGTTTAAGCTGAGTGGAAAGCCCTTTATGTATAAAAGTGAAGGAATGGTCGTTGAAGGCGGAATCTTAGGGGAGGTGGCAGCATTTTAATTTTTTTTAGGCTCATCAGAATTGAGAGCATAAAACCAAGAATTTACACAATAGTGTAAAGTTGATAGCAAGAGAATATATGGTATTACTTTTGATGATAGCAAAACACTACTGTCATCCAAGTCCACTACATTTGTCACTGAAGGCTCTGAACCTCTCTGAAAGTGCTTTATTTCTCCCTCATATTGCCGCATTCATCTATGTCAGATAAAATTAAGGGTGGATTGCCCAATAATCTGAGAATATGCAAGTACATATTGAAATATTTATTAATTTTGAATTACTTCTTCTTTTGGAGGGTTGTTAACAAATTTCATCTTGCTGAAATTCTGAATTTGCAACCCCTTCCCCCTTCCCTGTACCCTTGGTGGCGAACCTGTAACGCTGGTTTGAACCTCGGAAAATATTTATTTATGCATAGCCCGATTTTCTCCCCATTATGTAAGTAGCTGGGATTTTTTGTGAATATCTTGACGGAACTATTGAAGAACATCCCAATTACTGATTTCGGGCATTGAGTTTTGCCTGATATTATGCACTGCTACGTCCCTCCCCCTTGCTCTAATGTATGACGTGATTCACAGAAATCCCCTCAGTGGTTTTAGAAGCTCAAATGAGATAAAAATCCCACTATACTTTTTAATTTATTGTTTCTCCTCTGTGGTAGTGCGGCTGTATTTTTGCCTACCAGCGTTTATTTGTGCCTCGCATGTTTAACTGGTCCCTTTATTTTCTCTTTTTCGAAGGTTTGTATCTCATATGCATATTTCTCATTGCGTACTGTACACTATTTTACATTTTAAGGAGTAATACACGGGTAAGCACAGTATTTACAAGTTCTGCCTGGAACGATATTTTTTCTGTCACTTGGAATTCATTCTTTATCCATCAGTTGTTCAGTTTTGTTTTGTCGCTTTTTTGCTATTTAGTCAAACTTACTAACTGAAAACTTGTCTTCTAGAAATCTGATCCAACATACATTGCTTCAAAAAAATGTATCTTGCTCAAGAGAGCTAAAAATTTCAAAATGTTCCTTGCAATCATGCTTGTTTGCTAGCATAATTTAAGATCTGCTGATTATTAGAACAAAACCATGAAACCAAGTGTCTCCTTACCTTGGAGAGTTCCAGAAATTCAAAAGGAAACCGTCTCTTTCTCTTATTATGGATTAAAGATAAGGCCTGCCTCAAAGTCCTTTTATTCATTCATTTTTGTTCACTTTTTCTATGTCAAAATACTTTACTTTACAGAATTGAAGAGGCGGCTTCCAGGATTTTAGTTTACCATCACAAGTCATTTCAAGATGAATTATCGTATGAAGCCAAATGTGTACCTTCATGTTTAAGGGTTAGCTAGTAACTTGCATGATTTTATATTTAGTGGACAAAGTAACAAATTGAACATATTTTTGTCCCCAAATCAGTCAAATACTGTTTTGCATTCTTAGCTTTTCAAGCGAAATATTTTATTCAATCTTGTCCTTCTGGGTTTCTCAGATCATTTTTTTTTCTTTATAAGAGTAGTTTTTCAAATTGTGATATTTATTTATGTATTTGTATTAAGTTATTATTGGTCCTCCGAATTTGCTTTTAAACCCTGTAAAACACCCTGTGAAAAAGCCTCTCGAGACTTTTTAAAGTTTAACCTCTGCGTTTGTTTACATCGCCTTTGTTCGGGAATGTTTTCCATTGTTTTTTCAGATGGTTAAATTGAATTATGAATTGCTCTACATATTTATTTTATCTAACGTTAGGATTTTGTTTCCAATTCTTCTTTTTTATAAAGTGTTCCTAAGAATTTTTAGACGCCAGTGAAAAGTTCTCCAACAGAACAACCTACGCGAGGGTCAATGGAGAGCTCCGAGGTCTTCAGGTTGACTTCCAAGCTTTCTTTTGAAATTATTTCTTGCCATTTTTGTTGTAAAATACCCACATGTATTTATGATTTTAATTTTATCTGATAAAGTAACATAATGGTTGCATATAAGAGATTTCAAGTGCCATGTTTCAGACATTCAAACTTGAGCCCTTAACCACTGAAACTTATTTGATAATTTTCTCTTTATTTGCTCCAATCTAAAAATTTAATGAATTTACAAGAATTTTAATTAAGGAAACGTATTTGTATGAACTTTTTGTTGTCTTTAAGCAACAATAGGTACCCTCTTTTAAAATCATCTTTCTCACAGTACATAAGCTTTTTAAGACAATAACTTTTCTTGTCTCATGACTTTTTGTGCTTAAAGTCTATTTGTTTACTCGTTAAGCTCATTCAATTTTTCCTGCATTTTATGAGTCCCAAGTTTCTTTATTTCATATCAGTGACCTGTTAAAAGCTGTATTAGAATTTTTTTGTTGACTTGAGACTAAGGATAATCTCAACCACAAAAACTGAGGGAAAAAGACGATTTTATCCCGGGGAGGAATTTTAATCTTGTCATAAGTTTAAACAAAGTATCCAACATCCTTTGTCATTCATTTGGCCCAAGGAAGAAAATATTTTGAATGATCTTTAATAGAATTAATAAATAATTTGAAGTATTTCAGGAGACATTTGATATTTTATTCGTTCTTCAATTCAAATGTAAAGACTACCCCCCTCCCCACCCCCCAAAAGAAGGAAAAGTCTCCTAAAATGTTTTGAGCATGCATTAATTTTTTTTATTTTTTGTTTTGTATACCAACCAAATGTTCTAAAATACCTCGGTGGAAGGATACAGTTATTTCTTCTTTGGCTGAGACAAAATCTGGCGTTTGATCATGAATTGGTGATGCTGCTGAAAATTTACGTCTATCTTTCCACCCCTTGGCTTTACCATGATGTCCATCTAATGAAGGCTCTCCAAAAGCTTACTTTGTAGCTTCAAAAGCTCTATTTTTTATTTAAGTTATTTTTCTTTTTATTACAAAAATCTTGATCAGATTGTACTTACTTGTTATTGTTGTCATTTTTCTGTGTTTCGTTTTGATCAAATCAAAATCTAATGTTAATTTATTGATGTACTTAGGTATGTAGATATGTACGTAGAAATCTCTGCTGGGATCACTATTAATCATTGTGTCACAAATTTTTTGAGCATTTGTATTCATAGGGCTATTGCCTGTTTAAAGCATTACAGTTGATGAGAAAAAATGCAAATCAATGTCAAAAACTTTCTTTAAAAAAAAAAGGATTTTGTTTGATTTACGACCAGTATACATTGTCCACCTTAATGAAAATCAGAAAAAATTGTTATTTTATTAATCATATATTGTTAAAAATAGTGGTCTGTGGTTTTTTTTTTTTTTAATGAAACTTGTGTAAGTATGTGAAGTTTGGAACCAATCAAAGCCTGTGATGGAAGAAGGGATCTAAGTGCCATTAATATCGATGACCGAAGTCCAAAACCATGTATCTCCGTTTGTGACGTTGCAGACTTCCTGCCATACTTGATTTTCTCTTCGGATAATTAGTCAAAATAATTTCTTAAAAACTTTCTTGTTTTTCCTACTTCATTAGTAGAATATTTGTATAAATTCAAGTCTCAAAGTTGGCTTGATTTTCTTTGAAAGAATTACATAATAGCTGAAATTTTGAAACATTTCAGCGGAAATACATAGTTTTGCACTTAGGCCATCGATATCAAAAATTGTGATGGCTAAATTTGGAAAATGCATATCACAATTGCAAAGTCTGAAACACTCTGACTATGTTTTATTTTATTATAAAAAACTGGTCAAAATACTTCTCTGCATTTTTTTGTGATTTTTTTTCAGAAGAATTAAAAAAAGTCACAGCAAATAATTACAAGAGGAACAGTTTGAAAGTTTTCCTTTAAAAATTAAAAAGGGGTAGAAACTTGCACCGTTGCAATCTATCATACACTTTTTTTGGCTTCAGCCATCAATCAATACTTTATGCACTACTATTCACAGGAATGCTTTACAAACTCTTTGACTCAACTAATGCTCTAAAAGGTCAAATTAAACCGGAGTTTTGACAATTTTAAGTCAAAACAATATTGTTAAAGGATTTAGTCTAGTTATATAATATAACAGTCAAAACAATATAGTTTTGAAAAAAGTCTATTCGAAGGTTTATCTGCCCATCAAGGGACTCAAAATGATAGAATTGAATTGCATATTTTACGCTCTGTATTGTTCCAAAAATTAAGTAAACTATTTGAAACGTGCTCCTAACATTAGAGGCAGTTTTCCGTGGAAACTTGAATGTAGCTCTTGCATACACCAGGTATTTGCAATCTAATTTTTCCCCCAACATGACTTAAATCTCTCCTGTAAAAGGTACATCTGTGCACGAAGGTCCCTTCTCCCATGGAAAGAATTAAAAAGTTATTTCATTTTAAGTTTGAATTATTTATAACCTTGATAGTATTTCAAGGACTGACCGAAAATATCATTCAATTTATCTTTCACATTCCGCATACCTTTATTCATGTAATTAATTATTTGAAATATTTTGTTTACACCTCTCAATGTGGTAATTTTTTGGGTTAAATAACTTTCTTTTTACTCTCCAAGCTGTTGTAGTTTTTAAAGATCCTAACTGTAGTTCTTCCTGTAAGTTTTTAGCTCACTTCAAGATGATTTAATTAGGTACCTAACCCTGAATTATTCATGTGATGTAAACTTGGTCTTTTTTCAAAGATTGTCTTTTTTGTTAAAGAAAGAGTATCGAAACCTCCTAAATCTTCATTTTAATCCAATTAGGCTTAATTTAATAGTTGTTTACTTCAGAATTTCAGAAGATGTCAGTGGGCAGCTGAGATGCGAAACCACTTATCTCTGTTTGTGATGTTGCAAACTTCCTGTTATATATATTTTTTTTTTTTTTTTTTTTTATCATTTATTTATTTATTTATTTATTTCGAGAAACCAACATAATTTCCTGAAAGCTTCCTCGATTTTTCTGTGTAGTTAGCAGAATAGCCTATATAAATATTAAGCTGTAAAGGTAACTCGTTTCTTCTCGAAAAAATAGAGTAGAGGCAGAAATTTTGAACATTGCAATGGAGGTATGTTGTTTAGCCATTCTGTAGTTGGCCATTGAAATGTGACTAACAAGAAGAGGGACTTGAGTCTAAAAAAATTTAAATTGAGTGATTTATACCCTTAATTGGCGGAAATTTTGTATCAACATCCTGCCTTTGAAAAATGCCCAGTAATGCAAAATGAAATAGGAATTTTGATGGTTTGAAGTTTGTAGCTTGTAAAGCTGAATTTAGCACCAAAAAAAAGCCATTTCAAGTTATAATTTGCTATGATTGGGTCATAGTGCAATTTCAAATCATTTTTTGGCACAATATTTACGAAGCACGCTGCAACAAATTTTTTAGAATCTTCAAGAATGTTTTCTGTCCAAACGTCAAATTTTCCTACTTCAGTCAAAATTTTTATAAATCACTCTCCTCAAAAATTTGCCCGCAAGCACCAAGGTCCCTTTTTTCTGTTGTCAGTGGCGAGTTTCAAACTCTGTCTCATCAATCTAACTGCAGAGAAAATGCAGATTGATAATAATATGTGTTACTTTCTTAATTTTAAGGTCTTGAATTTATTCCTTAATTCATCAAGTATGTATACTTTTGGCACATTTTAATTATTTGTTACCATCTTTCTGATGATTCTCACCACCGATTTAAAATTCTTTGGTTGAAGGCATGATTTATTTATGAAACATGAAAATAAAAAATTAAAATCTATCAATAAAAAGCCAATTTCTAGTTCTGAATAGCCCGTTTCTTGCAGCCTTTTTCTGTGTATGCAGTATCAGAACTTTGTAACATTTTAGAACTTTTAAATTTTTTTATTTTTGTACAGTCCCTCCAACTTTGTTAAATTACACATTTGATGTAAGTTATAATATTTTTCATCAATACATTTTCTGTTTTGTTTAATTTTTAAGTTTGAAACTAAATTGAACAGTATCTATTGTTTGTTAAAAAGTGTATTATAATAATAATAAAAAAAAATTACCTATTTTAAGGAAAGTGAAGCTGACGAATCTTACATGAAGTTGTGTTGATGTTAAACTACGTATTTTATTTTTTGAAACCTTTATTCTCTATGCCATTAATTGATGCATGAATTTTTTCAATTTATTTGTCTCATTGTTTCATTCTCTATGCTTTATTACTAGCATGTTACACATGATATTAAAGTTTTAACCAAGTTACACATTCTGAACATGATATCTCTAGTAATTGATAGATACAGTGTTTTAGGAATTATCCATTGTAACTCTATACGTAAGCATTTATTATAATTCAAAAATTCTTTTTATTGTTCCGATGTAATAGTGAGATAAAAAATCATTGTTTTAGTCGAAGTTTTTCGCACGACCTATCTCTGTTCACAGGCAGTTCAACCCCTTCTAATTTTTGTCAATAGATTTTAAGGGACACAATTGGACTGAATCCAGCAGACACAAACGCATTTACCTAAGTTTCAAAACTAAGAAAGAAGTTTTTAAAATAGGAACTAGAAATTAAGTAACTATGAAAAAAAGATGACTAGCCCTTCCTCTCAGATCAAACTCTCATTCTTTCCATGTTCTATGAATCTGAGTCATTCATTTTCTCCTCTATTTATTAGTCCAATTGTTTGCCTCTAAGCACATTCAAAATTACCCATCACTTGATGCGGGCACCGCTTAAAAGTGCCCTCATCCTTTCTTTTCAAAATGTTTAAATCTATGAACCTCGTCGATTGTTATCCTAGCTGTTTCCTTGATTACAAAATCAGGGTTGCTGGCAGTCTGGACATTTCGGGAATTCATAGGAAGAGTCAACGAATTGTGCAAGCAGCATTTAGCAAAAGCGAGTGAAATTAAAAGAAAAAAAATCGAGTGGAAGTTTTGTTTGAAGGTCTGGGAAAGTCAGTAACTTCGAATATTTCAGCGTCAGGGAGTAGCAAAAGATAGTCTGGGAAATTCAAGGAAGTGAAAAATGAAGAAATTTTGGAAACTCGGAAAATCTATGATCTGCCCTTTTGATCATGATCATCTTCATTGATTATCTCCTCTTCTCCCTACTTGTGTTGATGGCAAAACTGCAGAAATGTGTATCTTGGTCGTGGATTTCCTTTCATACTTTCTTTTCTTCATGGAAATCTACCGAATGTCATTTTTTTAAAACCTTGGTGATTTTTCATCTCTATCAGAAGAATATTCCGTAAAAATTTCAAGTCATGACATTGGTTGTGTCTCCTTTTAAAAAATAAAATAGGAGCGGAGATTTTGGAGCACCACATCCGAGGTATGCATTTCTACAGTTTCACCATCAGTATCCTGAAATCTCATCAGAACCCAAAACCTTTATCTGTCTTCATTGCAAACTTCGCTGCCTAAACTTAGAGAAGTTACTCTTCGACATTTTTCGAACCTCTTCACAGTTTATGTCTCAGTTTTTAGCAGCTAACTGCCTTATCAGGCAGTAGATTTTTTTTTCCTGGCCTATATAGGGTCTACCCTTTTACCCTCCGCTTTCTCGCTAACTCAATAAAATTTACTGTGAAGATCTTTTTTCCTCTTTCTGTTTTTTTCTCCTTCAAAGACCTTTAGTACAAAAGTGTTGTAAAAATTGCTGATTCATTATCAACTGTTGAGCAGTATTCTTTATGAAATAAATTATGTATTACAAGATTATTAGCACTGTGTTTGATACTTTATTTATTTCTTTTACTCCCCTATTGTCAGAGCTTATCTCAATACTATATGTATTGTTTGTTGTAAATCACCGTAAATGATTTTTTTGTCTTTTCCTAAAATTAATTTATAGTGAAAATCATGTCGGATGAACCACACACCACAAATGTGGTCTTTACCTTTATCGATAGTGGAACTGCAGGAATGCGTTCTTACCTCGATTTGTGGTGTTGTAGACTCCGTGTCATACTACATTTCCTACATGGAAAACTACTGAACGCCATTTTTTGAAATCTTTGTTTATTTTTCTTTTTCATGTGAGGAATATTCTGTGAAAATCTCAGGGACGACGCTGGTTTGGTCACCTTTTAAATATTAAAGTAAGAAACCCTAGTTCTCATTTTTCCTCTTAATATGATAAAAATTACTGTCCCTCATTTTCACCAACGCCTTCAGATCCCTTTTCTTGCAGATGATCCTGCAGTTGCGTCAATTTTTGAACTTGATCATCAATGTGTTCTTAATTTTTAATCTCACTGAGGAGTATTCCTCGTAGATACTTATAGTAATGACCCTCATATGAAACTTTTCAGAAACTCAAAAAACTGTTAAAAATTATGTACCTAGTATGAAACCTTTTTCGGTCATTTTTTTTTAATAAATTTTACTGTTGCAAAATTTACATGGACATGTCTTCACAAGAATTAAGCATTTTTTAAATTTTGCAATGTTTTTTTCACTTTAATTGTACAATTTATTCATAAATTTTACATGAGAAAGAAGGCATCCATAAAGGGTTTCCTAAAACCTTAAGGTGGGTCTAAGGAGGGGTAGGGGCATAGGGGGTTTACGCCCCCTCGTTCGCCCGAAATAAGAATGAAAGAACGGAAGAAATAGGAAGGAAGAACGCTTATATTTTATAATTTATTCAAGACCAAATTGACTTAAATTGCCTATCATATGCTCTCAAATTTCGAAAATTGGCTGAGGGAGCCCCTGAACATCCCTTACGCCCTCCTTCTGCGACGTGTCTGGATCCGTCTGTGCCTGAAACATGTTGTCCTCATATAATTTTCGATTTTTCAGTAATCGTTGCTACAAGGGATTTGATTCTTTCTGGAACAAGGCCCCTTACATTCGAAGTAAATTTTTAAGGAGCGGAAAAATGAGTAAAATGGAATTTAGTTGAAAATGTTACATGTATGCTATAAAATAATAAAGCGAACTTCATGAGTTGTATAACCGTAACTTTTTATTTATTTTAAACAAAAAAATTTTTTTAATTTTTTTTTTTTTTTTTTTTTTTATAAATAAAAAGTTACGGTTATACAACTCATGAAGTTCGCTTTATTATACATAAAATAACCATGAAATTAGACCTATAAAATAATATATACACACAGTGTATTGATATAGGGCTATTTCCTAAAGGTTTCTTTATTGTAAAAATTTAAGGGCGTCAACGCGTCCAGAGAAAACATACTTACAACTACAACGCGTCATATTGCATTGTCGATCCCTGAGACCAAGTTCCATAGGTGATATGTATTCAAATATTGGCGCCATGTGCAATGCGCCCTCTGGCGGAGAGGTTCCAGTACCACTCTGATAGCCGGCCCGCTTCATGTAGTATGTAGTTCATGTCAAGATCCGTTCATGTGCTTTCATGCTTTCTCGATTTCTACTTTTACTTTTTTTTTTTACATTTTTTAATTTTTACTGTTTGTGTTTGGTAATTTTAGTCTGTCTCAGTGAAAATAAAGGTAGAAGCAACGTTATACGTTTGAACTATCGTAATTTCTAAGCATAGATTTGCCTTTTTTAGTCAGGTAACAAGTTGTAGAAAGTTTTTCTTTGTTCCATCGTAGGTGGCACAAGCCATGGGAAAAACCATCTAGACCACATGGTTTCTGGGCAGATTTTGCATTATTCCTGCTTTCAATTAGAAGTTTTAGAGAAGCAATTTCCTCGGTAGTGGTTTAGGTAAGTCGTTCTCAACATAATCACAAATATTTCCTATTTTGAAAAATTTCCACCGTCCTATCAGAGATCTCTACCTATCATATTTTACGCTAAGTTTTGGATTCTAGCTTCCTAGCCTCTTTGAGTATCTGGTGACAAGATTATTTCTTGCTTTTCACATTATTTACTCATTGCAGGCACAATTGCAGAAGAAAAAAGAAGTGCCATTCCTAAGGCGACTCGTCGCGGTTTCAGGTGTGGTTGAATAAACATGCGATGTATCGCATCAATTTGGTCTAAAATTTCTACATATTTTGAATTTTCAGCCACAAAGAAGACAATACCCCCTACGTATGAGCCTAAAGAATCAATCTACTTTAGAATATAGGCAAAATCTAGAGAAATTTAAGAGGAATAAGTAAGTTCTGAAGCGTATTATCGTTGATGATCGGTTGAACCAAAATGGGTGGATCAAGCGGTTTTGTATTTTGTTTAGACGCAATCGTAAGTTTTCGGAACAACATCGGAACTCAGCAGATAGATAGAAGGTGGAATTCTTGCAAATGTTGGAGCCGAAATATAATCCTACAAAAAATAGGGTTTAGAAATGACCTGATGAAGATGTTGGCATCCAACCAGCATCAATTTCGAAAGTCTGTTTACAAACCCGACTATGATCTTGCCGCCACTGTCGTGGCATTTTGGCTCGACCGATCATCATCAAAAATACGCTAATGCTTTGAAAAAAACCGTGCATTTGATAGAGTTATCGAATGTAAGGTTCTTTTCCCCAACAGGACTCTCTTTTCATCTCTATTTTGCATATTTTTTGGTTTAGATTAATTCTTTAGGCTCATGGGCAGAGTTACTATCATCTTGTTGGCTGAAAATTCAAATTGTGCAGATATTTATGACAAAATCAATGCGATTCATCATATGTCAGTTCTACAGAGTGACAAATCACCTTAATGCTGGTGGTGCCAAAATCCTGCGAACGGTAAATATGTAGCCAAAGCTTTGAGGCCTGCAGTTCAAATATTTGTGTTAGAGCATTAGTAATGAATCCAACTAATTGACCTGAAATGCTTTTTGTCACTTAACCTCCCTAATTTGCCACGGCCCCTAAATCTACTCTAGTTTTCCTTAAAAAAGTTGACTGCCTGCCGAGTACTTTAAATTATAAGTAGAGTCGATGCCGCATAAGTTTATACACTTCTAGACTGAAACAAAAGACGGTCTAACATCACTTTTACATGTAAAGTAATTGCAAGGATCAAGATGGCGGCTCTTCAGTGGCAGTCTAAAAGTGCGTAAACTTATTTGGTGTGGACTATATTTACTTTAATTTGTGATGTACTTATAGTAGCTACCTGCTACCCATGCACGAAGATGGAGTTTCAACGTCTATCAGACCTAGATCTATCTAGATCTTCTATCAGTATTATTTAATTTACTTACATTGACTAATTTTTTGTGATTTTTCATGCAGCAGACTTGGTAGAATCTAGATTCAGGATGTATCGACAGATTGATCTTACATTCTGCAATCGAAATAATGTAGGAGCTGCCTTAAAATTTTTATCTCAGGTAAGACCTCAAGCCATTTACTTAAAGTCAGTACTAGTGAAAAAAATGTTTTGCGAACAGTTAAAATTAGTCCTAATTTTGACTGTTCGCTACTTAAGTACCACCACTGAAGAGCTTTGAGAGATGAGATTTGATATTACTTAAGCTGTTTTTCAGTTGTAGTTCATTGTCAGCTTAATGAAGAAATCAGCCAATTCATTTTTCAGTGCCATAACATCTATTTTCCTCCACATTTCTCAGGTGACTAGGTGATTACAATGATGTAATGATAGAAATACAAAGAAAAAGAAATTGTGAACTAAAAGACAGAACTTTAAACTGTAAAGAAGTCTCCTTCAAGTTCATCTCTTCTCTAGCATGAAAATCTCAAGAAGAAAATGATCCCAAAAAATCAGAAATTATAGACTTTCCAAGCAATTTTGATTAAGATTTCCTCACAATGTCATTCAGTGGTGCCTCAAAAGTTCAGAGACTATGGGTGATTTCACGACAACAGGAATAGTCATGTCGCCAAGGGTTATGAACAACACAGGGCAAAACGATTAAAACGTAGGTTTTATAATGAAAAGAATGATGACTCTCAACTTCTTCATGCCAAAAACTTGACAAATTACTGTCATTTTACAAAATATGAGACTTCAAGAACCAAAAATATCTGGTCGGTTACTCGTTGCCAACTACGATTTTGGAGAAAATGAGTAATACGTAAGATTACTGAAGGAGTATACACACTGGCAGGTTACTGTCGCATTAAGATAGAACCACTAATGAGTGTCGACATATAAACTAGATTTGACTTTTGTCTCGTCTATGATGCGCGAGTTTTAGTTAAAAACCTCATTAATAATAACCGAAAGCTTTGCATTTCATTGTGACCTTCTCACTCGAATTTTGATCTACGCATACAAAAATGTAATTGTATCACTAAGCAATGATCATGTGTTTTTCAGGAGTTGAACTTCAGAGGATATCCAGGGTTACCAAAGTACACAGAATCAGAGAATGAATCGGACGTCATGGTTGCTTTAATCAATAATCTTTGGATTGCAACAAGGCAACAAGAGGCATGTAAGCAAGAGAGAGAAGATTTGCAGGCAGAAATCAATGAACTGACTGATTGTAATAAGAAACTAAATGTAACTATCACCATTTTCCTTTGCTTCTACACAATAACAAAGCTGTCCCCAAAAAACTGAGAGTTGACTTGCTCCAAACAGTCTACCAAAAAAAATGGATTGCAGTTTTCTAGATTTTGTAGCTTATTTTGTTAGCTCTCGTTGAGTTCACTAAGTGAAAAAATTACTTTTTTACAGCAATTTTTTAGCGACGTGTAAAAAGAACCCCTCTGGAATTTTCAAAACATTTTTTGCTCTCCAACCACACCTTGCTTAGACGAATGAACACCAGAAATGAAGTAAAGTCCTCAGTCATGGCCTTAAACATTACTCCTGCTTTGGCTGTTCAAAATCGAAGGAAAGAAAGAAGCAATTAAAAAAATGGTAACAAAGTTTGTTTTGAACAAAACACGTCTTTGATCACTTCTTTCCTTATTTGCAGAATTTTGAAAAATCCTAAATGTTAGAATCTCCTCAATCACTTAACTTACATCCCAAAAAATTTTAATTTCTTAAACCCCTATTCTAATGCCCTGACTTTAATTTTGACTATTGTTCCAGGAATCTCTGGAGCTCTCAAAGAAACAATTAGAAGAAATGCAAACACTCAATAGTAACTTGAAACTGAAACAAAGAAAACTATTGTCTAAAGTGGCATCTCTAGAAGATGATCTCAAAGAAGTTAAACAAGAGGTTTGTAAATCTTACACTTGAGTAATGTCTAATTTGAGTGTATTTTAAATAAACACTGTCAATAGTAAAATGATATCATTTCTTCCCTTTTTGGCTCTGTTTTTTTCTCATACATTGAAGGGACTCTTTAATGCTATTCTGAAGCGTCATGTTTTAAAAAATTTTATTCAAACAAGGCCACCACAAATCTCATGGAAAATGGGGCAGCTAATCATAGCTACAATGCTGTGAAGTACAATTTTTTCAAATCACCCCAGTTTGGCCACTTCTTAGTGTTTTTTATTTTTCATTTGTGCTAATTAATAACCCATGTTTTTTTTTTTTTTTTTTTTTTTCCATTTTCATTATGGTTAGGCTTCAAAATTGCACGGAAAACTAGAGTCTTTCAGCAATCAATTTATTCACAACATCAGAAAACGAGACAATGAAATTGATCGATTGCAAAATTTAATCGCATCTGATGCTTGCAGAGGTAAGATTTCTCTAACCGTTCGTCCATCAACTAAAACCCTGGAACAATTAGTTTCCCAAGTTCTTTTACCTACACGGTCTTTCTTGTTGTTATCTCTCCCTTGCCCTTGTATTACGTCACTATCCCCTGTGCAGGTACATAATTAAAAGTATTAACCTGAGGATGAAAGCAGCTCGGTCAAGTTTTGAGTAATTTTTTGCATTCCATGCTAGCATGTTTAGAACAGCAAAAAGAAACAAGTAACCAGTAGACAGGGTATGAAATTTAGCACAACGAATCTCAATACTTGTTACCTCATTGAATTTTTAAGCAGAAGACGATGGACACATTAAGACTTTCCGATTTCAACTCTAAGTCAGAGAATTTTTTTGTTTTTTGTTTTTGGGTCAAAATTCAATATACCCTGTATCAAAAAAGGAATGGCAAATATTTGTGAAACCAAGCTCGAGTTATTTGCTTAATATAGGTAGACGTGGGTTGTTTTAGATGACCGATTGGCCGACATTGATCCTGGTTTTTTTGGCAAAAAGGAGGTTCCAATTTACTATTTACTGTTCAAACTACAATCGTTTATTTTTCATAAGTTTAAGTTGATGAATACACGTACCTTTTAAGCCAAGACATTTCAGACCTTTGCCGTGCAAAGAATGCACCATGCTCGCTGCTTTAATGAAATCAAATGGAGACCTCTACCCATCTCCGCTACACTGCAAGTGTCAATAGCTCCAGAACTGGAGTTGATGCCTTCCAGCAAAGGTCTAGGACATTCTGGCTTTAGACATCTAATTTTTACCATGTCTTGGTGTCCATTATTTTTTATTCAGTTCACACCAAAAGTCTTGGCAGAATGATTTGACCCTTTATTCTAAATTCCAAATTATTATTTGATTTTTCAGAGCTTTACTGTGGAGTCTCCGGTGAGCTGAAGGAAAAATTTGAAAAGCATAAAGAAGAAAGACTGAAAAAAATGATAGGACCTGAGTAAGTACTTTACTTTGAAGGCAGTCCTCTGTCTACACATTTTGTTAATTCATGGTCCTGATTAGTATGGATCTCTTCAGTAGTAATTGTGACAAGTTAGTGGTAAATTCAAAGAAGGATAAAATGCCAGATGTTCAAGGCTCTCAAATTAATTCTAAGCATGCTAAAATAAATCAAAATATTTGAAGAAGGGATCTTAGAAGTGTGTAATGTTACATTTTCATACAAAAAAAAAATTGTGGTCCAATTACTCCAGGTGACAGGATGGTAGAATAATGGTGGGCCCATTGGGTCTTCTCGATTGGCCAAGGGAAGCTCTGAAGACAGACATACCAAAAATTAGAACTGGAGTCACGAAATGAGCTTCAATGATTACTAATTCTAATTTTTAGTATTTCTGCCTTTGATTCTCTGTCAGAATAGTGTGAACCCAAATTAATTCCACAATTCTGTCACATTTTTATTTACATGTGTATTGAATTTTTAAATTATCTGTCAAGATTTTAAATTGTCTAACTTTCAATAGGAGCAAGTCATATATGTTAAAACAATGTTTTGTTTGTTTGTTTTTTTCTTTTGGGTTGAAATTATGAAAACATATATCCATCCACGTTCGCGACTTTGTGGATTCCGTGACACATTTTACATCACTACAGAATGAACAATCACCGTAGTTGCCAAAGATTTTGTGTGATTTTCCTTTATTCCTCCGAGATTACCCATGCTCTGGAAATTTAGTTCAAAAGTGCCTTTTAATATTCTTCAAAATAAAGAAAGTAGTAGGAGCTGAAATTTTGAAACTTTGCAATTGAAGTATAAATGATTTTTGTAGTTTCAATGTTGAATCCCCCCCAGTATGTTCTTTATTAGTAGGAGCACCAGGCAAACAGCACTCTGGCCCAGAAGGCCCGCAAACACAGACCAAATAAGAAAGAAATTGACAGTAAATACAAGATATTTGCAATAATGCTGCAAAATGAACGTAAAAGAGTAATTTAATTTATAAAATTAAGAGAGGAGGCGGAAACACCAGAACTATTGTAAAGTATACTCCTAAGGAAAAATTTTCTCCTGAAGGAGAGAGATGATCTTAATAAACAATTAGACATGAAATAAAAAGTGACTATTGGACTTAAAAGGTAATTTCAGAATCAGATCAAGTTAAGAAAGGAAGATCAAAATAAGACAAAGTTTTTAAAAAATGATCAATATTGAAAATCTGTGAGCTGATAATGAATACTCTAATAATTAATGCATTCAGTTGCATGACATAACGATAGTTTTATAGTTTTATCAGTTAATCGAATTTAGCAAATAACTAGAGGTCCTCCTTTTATTACAGTGTGGAAAAGGACTACATCAAAAGCATACGAATCTTAGAGAAGAATATCCAAGACTTGGTGGTAGAAAATGTCTGCTGGCGGCAAGCAATGAAAACGCAATACCTACAAATCATTTCCGTCCTTCTACCAGAGGTAATCTCTCATCTGAGAGCAGCTCTTAATTTTCCATATCATCGCCTCACAAGTATGTTTTTCAATTTTCTAAGCTGTTCCTTCAAAATCATTGTCAAATCCGATGTATGAAAGGTAAGGAGGATATGGGACTCTCTTGGAAAGTATTAAAATACACTTACCTACACAATTTTCACCGACTAGATTAATGGTGTTTAATTGGGGACTGGCAAAACTCCTCTTTAAAGGAAAAAAGAAGAAAGAGAACCGTACGATGGATCAGTCTGGATAGACTTTCTTGGTCAAATTTTTTGTCATGTCTTCTAGAATTCCCAAAATATTTTCCACTTCAAAGTACAGTTGCATTTTGATTTCAAATCTCTGATTAGAAGTGTAGGAAGTTCCAGAACTTCAGCTGGTTGCCGCAATCCGCTGTTTTTGCATCACAATCATGATAGGCCAGTTGCAAGGTAGTTTTTCAGGGTTGCAGTGCAGTTCTCTTCTGTTTTTCATGTTAAAGCCCAAAATTTTAAAAAAAAAAAAATGTTTTAGGAGGAGAGAAAAGTAAGCAGAATCCTTCTGATCAGTTGACATAGCAAGGCAATAGTGTCTGCAGCTGAGTGCTGTATCATCAGAGCCCATCATAAATATCCTTACAAACTGGTCCCACTTTTGGCATTGTCAAAATGGGGTTTTTGATCATTTAGGGTTTCAACAAAGTCTAAAAAAATTCCTGGAAGTATAGTTCACTTTTTAGGAAGTGATTCTCAAAAAAATGAGCACCTCTGACCCATTTCCGTTTGCTTTATAGCCCAGAGTCAGCTTTTATGACTAAATCCATTATTTTATTTCCTGGTAAAATTATCAATATGCCCCACTTTTTGAATACTGGCCCCAAAAAAAAGAAAGTCACCATTAAAATTCCTCACGCTTGCCATGATCCTAGATTTGTTTGTTTTTTTTTTTTAATGTTTATGTGAAGCTATGCCGAAACAAAACATTGAAAAGTCACGGAATTTCCAAATCTAAAGAAACAAGTCACCCTGAGTCAAATAAGGACAGATTCGAAACATTTGCCCAACTGTTCTGTGCAAAATTTTGGTGGAATTACATCTATCCTGATTCTTAATTTTCTGTCCTGTACAGCAGTCCATTACCCATCTTTTAAAGGATATTTTTTTGTCTCTACTCAGGAAGGTAGCGGTGATGCTATTGAAGCTGGACTGAATTTTGATCTTCCGTATGAAAACTTTATTCGAATATTCCACAAACAGTGGCTGCTTATAATCAAGAGGATTACGTTGTTGATGGAATGTCGAGCCGATGAACTGAAACTGTTAATGAAAAATGACAATGACCCAACTGTAGCTCAGTCAAATTGATTCTGGAGCGGCTAACCTGGTACTAAATACTGTTTGATTCCAAATTCATCAAGGGTGTCTTACTGTCAGGTTCAAACATCTTATCACTCTACAATTTCTTTCCTAAACATCTAACAAAATTTAACGGGAAAGAATTTAACATAAAAACTATCCATTAGCATCTTTGGACTCACCACTTAAAAATCCACTGAGTATAATGTATGAAAAACCTTGGGGAGAAAATGTTGTGTATAATGGTGCATATTCTTCTGCCTACTTGTAGCATAGTTTAGAAGAGGATTTTGAAGGCACAATGAGCCTTAGGCGGTAAATTTTCAGAGTACCTTTCGTAGATAGTTTGCTGTAATATGACCTTTTTTGTGTGTGCAAAGTGTGTAATATGTATTTCAGAAAGTCGTTGGTTGCTCCCATCTTTTATTTTTTGAATTTTGCAAATAAAGGAATGTCCTTAACTTTTCAAATAGTACGAAAATACTTTTAGAGATCCTCAAATTTTAGTTAAATTGTCTAGTTATTTTTTATTACCACTTAAAGGATTCAATTTTTTTATATGCTGTTTGCTCAGAAATAGGGTGTTTCTGAGAGTATACCTAGCTTAAATAAATGCAATAATTTTAATAAAAATGCAAATTTTAATGCAATAACTGGTATGATTCACTGTAAACAGAATTTCCAAGGAAAGGCGTAATATATATACATGCTGTTTGCTCAGAAAAGCACTGATAGGTCAACCTTTGGGCACCAAAAAAATCATATCCGCTGATCTTTTGCAGCTATCAACATGAGATTCAAGTGGTACCCAATTTAGGGTATGACTTATCTTATTGCAAATTTCCGAGCAAAAAGCTTACACGCGTATACGTTTTTTGGTCGGAAAGATCCTCATGTTCCTCTCCTTTGGGCTAATAACATGCAAGACTTTTTTAGCCAAGTGTTGTATTGTTTTATTAACTGCCAAACTGACCAGATGCTATCCTAGGCTCACTGCAAGTGGAACTCCACGACTTTAATGGATAATTTACCCAGTAAAAAACTGCTCCAGAGCAGTCCTTTATTGAGAGGGAGAGAGAGAGCAAAATCAGCAGGTCCAATTTAAAAACCCTTTAATCCTTGGATAGTCCTTTTCTTCGAAATTGATTTTCGGCTCATATTTAGTAAATTTTATCCAGCGACCTTATAATCATCAAGAATTATTCTGTTACAGCAAAAAATATCACAACAACTTGGAAATCCGAGTTTTGCAAGTCTGACGATTAACGCACCACATGTTCATCGAACGTTGAAGCGCTATTCCATAAATCAGAGCCAAATTTTCAATTGTTTAATGGTCCCAAGTCAGCTATTGCTGCGAGTGTGCAGTAGCAGCTTCTAGCAATAATCATTTTTCTAAGACAAGAACGGATTTGAAGGAAATGTAGAGCGTTATTTGTACTCCTGATGACGAAAGGTAAATATTTTGATCTTATCAAACCAATGAAAGTTTTTTTTTTTTTTTTTTTTTCATTGATAGGCACAGGCAGAATATTTTATCAAATTTTTCTCTTCAACCTCATTCTCAGTTTGAATACATTTTGTATTAAGGAACTATTGTTTCTGGCTTATCCACAGATACAGTAATACACCCATCTAATTTCTAAAATGAGCCAGGAGCATGGAGTTCCTTATCGCGCAATGCGTTCCGTTCGTGATTTTCCACAGGACACAATGTTCATTAAAAAGTTGAGAAAAACCATTGCTAAGAGAAGAAAAGCTGATCGGAATCCGTCCAATCAACAGTCAACTGTCAAGTTGGCGCAAGGTGGTATCGTAAAGATAAGTATAGCCAAGTAGTAAACGACTTTTCCCTTGCCTGGCTTTGTCATCAGCAGCTGCCAAAAATATTGTTTTAAATGGATCTCATTTTGGAATTTTTTTAATTAAGTTTCTTGGCAATTTAGGGTTAAAACAATCTGAAGGAAATAAATCCTGAAAGCCTGCTGCACTTTTGGAACACATGGACAGACATTGGAAAATTTCGCCGCGAAATTTTTAAAATGTGCTTAGGAATCGGAAAACCAGACAAAAGGACCAATCTTAACCCCCTGATAACGAAAATATTAAGGCGAAATAACGCGATTTCGGTCATTTTCCGGATTTATCGCGAAATCGGCAAAATCTGTACATTTTTGTAAATTTTACGTTTGTATGCATGTAAGACGAAATTTGCTGCACTTTTTTTCAATATAAGAAGTTATGGAGTTGTTTCTGAGCATTGGTCGTCATTGGCTACTAGCTATCAATGTTCGCCAATGGCATCAAAATACTGATGAAAAAAATGGTGGCAACCGGGGCATAAACATAACTTCAAATAATTTTTTTAACATGTGATTGTGTGAAAGCTTTATTTTAAGCTGCCTAACGCAAAAAGCGCTACAAAAATAACGGCAAAATCAGCAGTAATAACAGCGAAATTTTCCAATGTCTACACATGGAACACACATAGAAAATGCTGTACTTTTAGAAAATAAAAATGAATGAAAAAAATGACTGCCATTGACCCACTGTCCTCTCTGTTGATTCTTAGTTGTTGCCTTCTCTTATCTGCCGCAGATCATTCTAGCATGGGTTTAGAAAATCAGGTGTAAACTCCATCGCAGCCAAAATTTCCAGACCCGACATTGCATCCTGTTCCAAGGCAAGTGTTTGGCTATGCTTCTATTCAACATGATAATTTCATACTTATCAGAAATTTAGACTTATATTACTTGAACTTGTTTTGAATCTCTAAAAGAAGACTCACTGGTTTTAGAAAGATGCAGGATAATTTTTTGTTGTTGCTAAAATTGTCTAACTTAGCAATAACTTTAATTCAGAACCCTCTGTTTCAACAACTAACCAAGTATGAACCCAGAGAACTTGAGCCTTTATAACATTAAAGCTTTGATGGACAAAAAAATCATGCAGCACAATTTAAGTAAGAGAATTGTGTATATTTGCCTTTGAAAAATATTCTACAAAAGAGGGGGAAGTTGGTGTATGAAAATGGCTATCTGATAAAATTATTTACTCATTTTACAATTTTACAAGCAAACCCATTTACAAATTACAAGCAAATCTATTCACAAATAAGTACCAAAAAATAGATAGCAAAATAACCACCATTCAAAGAGAAAGTCGGAGGAAGAAAAAAAAGAATGTATTGATAGGTGACACCTGGGGCAAAGTTTGTAAACAAATCTAGTTTTGAAGTTAATTTACATGAAAATGTCTTCACAAGAATTAAGTATTTTTTAAATTTTGTAATGCTTCTTTCACATAAATTGTACAATTTATTCGTATATTTCACATGAGAAAGTAGGCACCCATAAAGGGTTTCCTGAAACCATTACGTGGATCCAAGGAGGGCATAGGAGGTTTACGCCCCTTGTTTGCCCGAAAAAAGAAGATAGAAAGAAGGAAGGAAAGAACGGAAGAAATAAGAAGGAAGAACGCTTATATTTTGCAACTTATTCATGACCAAATTGACTTAAATTGCCTATCACATGCTTTCAAATTTCGAAAATTGGCTGAGGGAGCCCCTGAACATCCCTTACGCCCTCCTTCTGAGACGTGTCTGGATCCGTTTGTGCCTGGAACATGTTGTCCTCTTACAATTTATGATTTTTCAGTAGTCGTTGCTATAAGGTATTTGATTCTTTCTTAACCCTTTGACTCCTGAGTATGTGGTTCAGAGCGCGCACCCCTGGCCTAGGTTAGGAATGAGAAATCATGCATAATTGACAGCTTTTAGTTTTCTTACCGTCATTCAATTATTTCTCCTCCAAATAGCTTGAAATTTTGTGTGTGTCATGCCGAGGGTATGAGGAATGAAGATCAGTCATCAAAAGTTAATTTCCAGCACCCAAAAAAATTTTATAATCAAAAAACACTAAAATTTAAGATTTTTTACTTTTTTTTTCTGAAAAATTATTTATTTATCATCACTCAAGTGGCAAACTATCACCAAAGAAGAAAACATGCGAAAATGCATTCTACATGCTTTAGTAAAAAATTTCAATCTTTGAATTAAAAAAAAATCACTTCATAAAAACACTAAATCTAAGAGAACAACCGAGGCTTGAAAAAGTTTCCTCAAAATTTTAGTTGGGTGTGATATTTCTGAAAGCATGGTGCAACACATAGGGTTACTCTACAATCAAGACACTCATAGCGACTTTCTCTCCTCTTTTGAACTCCTAATTTTGTATTTGCACAGACAAGACATTTACGGGTGACGGATATCTTCTTTTCAGTAGGCGGAATGAATGTTGGAAAGTGGCGTCCAAGTAGTCTTAGGGGTGTTTCACTTGTCGATGGTTTTCCACCTGATGGTCTTCTCTTTGGTCCTTGATGCTGCTCAATGAGCTGCTCAATTATCTTCAGTTTGTACTCATAAATAGATACTTTTTTGTTAGTCACTAATTGAAAAAGAACATGTGCGTTCAAGATAGAGCTGTCCAGAAGATGAAAAAAAACTTTCTTGTACCATTTGACGGTCCTCCTCACACTCTCAGTGCTGCTCAAAAGTTGGTCAGTGTGATCTACACCCCCCATATTTTTGTTATAATTCAAAATGCAAACTGGCTTGAGAACAGTATCAGTGATGTGCGCTTTTTTCTTAGGGGGCTCGGCCATGGAGAACTTATCAATTGTTGACAGCATGTGCACATCTCGTTTGTCAGTGTATTTTAGAGCCATCATCCCATCTGAAAACTTAGCAAAAACTTCTCCTTTTTGTAGTGGTGGGAAAATAGGCATCCCTTTTCTGTTTTTTTTGACAGTTCCACAAATATTAGATCCTTTTTGCCTCAACAGAACAGCTAGAGTTGGACTGGTATAATAATTGTCAACAAATACGTTATACCCTTTTTTGAATAGAGGCTCTAATAAAGTAGTGACAATAGCCCCACTTTTGCCAATATGATACTTATCTGCTATTTCAGTCTTAGCACCTAAGTATAACATTATGTCCCAGATATATCCACTGTCACTATGGCAAAGTTTATAAAATTTGATACCAAAACGGGCTCTCTTCGTTTTGATGAACTGTTTGAAACTTAGACGTCCTTTGAACAACAAAAGTGACTCATCAATGCTGAGGTTCTGGAAGGGAGTGTACAGATCTTTGAAGCTCTGTCTTAATTTCTCAAAAGGAGCACGGATTTTATACATACGGTCATTCTTCGGTTGCTCATTGTTTGAAGAGAAGTGTAAAAATTTTAAAATGGCTAGAAATCTGTCCCGTGACATCAATTTGGAGAAAATTGGTACATTCAAGATATCCCTGGTTGACCAACAATCCCGGATATCATTCAATCCATGCACTGACACCAGCAACCAGACACCAAAAAATAAATATAGTTCATCCACAGTCAGATCTGTCCACTTAGCGAAGGAAGAATACCGACCAACGCGGCCCATCGCCTCACCAGCATAATCTACAAAGTTGTTTGTCTCAGTGACAATCAATACCATGAGATCTTCATTAAAAAACTCTTTGAAGAAGTCAAGCTCCCTGTTTTCACATGTCAAATTGGAATTATATCCGACATTTACCTGGGTGAATGGATGGGGAGAGGGCCTTCGCTTTTTAGACTTCCATTTGATATTGGCAGTATCGAAGTTGAACTCATCATCTGAACTACTGAGTTCATGAACTGGCTCACTCTCTGCTACATTATTATCAGGGTCCACTACACCACTTTCTATATCGTCAATATTTTCCACTGAATTTTGTATGGAAACAGTATCACCACTAGAATCATCATCTTCAACAGGTAGTTCAAAATCCTCATTTTCACTCTCTGATTCACTCTGTGTTACAAGTTCCCGGATTTCAGATTCATTCAAGACACCTTTAGCACTCATTCCGACACTCAAACTAAATATCCGCCGCGAAAAACCCGGAAAAATTGCGATAAAAACAGTCCGAAAGTGAGCATTACAGACATAACCCAACAACTAATTTGTAAACAACATTCGGCGAGGAAAATCATGTGTTGCTGAGGAACGCCGGCAACGAAACTTGTTTACGATTATTCCATCATGTAGTTCATTTCATTGCTGACAGATAGCACTACCTATTTAACCCTCTGCGACAAGCGATACTCGCTCAAGAGCGGCAAATACCAAAAGAAGTTACGAAACGACTATAGTCGGGCGTAGGCTGTGGGCGCGGTTTTCGAAGGACGACTTAAGTCGGGCGTAGGAGTCAAAGGGTTAAACAAGGCCCCTTACATTCAAAGTAAATTAAGGAGCGGAAAAATGAGTAAAATGTAATTTCAGTTAAAAATGTTAAATTTATGCTATAAAATCATACATTTACACAGTGTATTGATATAGGGTTATTTCCTAAAGGTTTCTTCATAGTTAAAATTTAAGGGTGTCAACACGTCAAAATGTCGATCCTTGAAACCAAGTTTCATAGGCGATTGGCGATATGTGTTCAAATATTGGTGCCAAGTGCCATGCGCCCTCTGGCAGAGAGGTGCCAGTACCACTCTAATAGCTGGTGCTGGTGTAATGGTGTTGCTTACTTGCTGTCTTTACTGTTCAGTACTTTTAGCCTGTTTTAGTGGACTTTCGAGACTTTGAACTTTGATATTAATTAACTCGTTGTCCAGGTGAAAATTAAGGTAAAAGCAACGTTATATATTTGAACTATCGTAATTACTAAGCATAATATGCATTTTTTAGTCAGGTAACAAGTTGTAGCTGAAAGTTTTTCAATGTTCCTGTTCAAATCAAAACTGTTGTGCCCAGGGCCAAGCAAATATTTCTAAGACTTGCAGTGTCACTAGTATTTCAGAAGGAAAAGTGAAAATTTGTCTTGAAAAACCTTCAAACTTAATTTTGGTCAAAATCACAAGAGCACAACACAAGACAGCTTAACTGGTGGCCACGTTGCCAAGATTTGAGATGTTAGTCTGAAACTGTCTCATATCAGAGTTGCCTTGTTCTGTTTTTACATATAGTTGTTGGGAATGAACATATTATGTCTGACTCTGTTTGGGAGTATAGTCTTCACTAATACATATACTAACTTCTTTAGGTATTACCTACAGTAGTATAATTCAAAACTACCCAAGATATGATATCTGTGTTTCTAACATAAACTAAGACAGGGCATTTGTAGCCGTTTTTCACTCTACATGAGTGGTTTGTTACAACCACTACACCATAGAAGGCCAACAAACATTTTTGCATTCCTTGAAAAAGGTCTTACACAGCCCTTTATTTTAGACAAAATTTACAGTGTGACTTAACTAGTGACAAACAAATAGTAAAAAGGATGATTAATAGTAACAGGTTTAGAATATTCTAAATCTCAGTTAATAGGATAAGTGTTTAACGTGTATTTGTACAAATTTTGAAGGCCAAAAGAATTGAAGCCGCAATTTTAAATTAGGCTGGCAATTCGGACTATTGAGTAAGCCGGTGTTGGAATTGGGTTCTTACTGTATAAGGCAAGTGATGGGCAGGTGAATTCCTCTCTAGTAACACGGGATCCGTAGTAGTGATGTCCCAAGAAGTAGATATCAGTGAAGGTCTTAGTGATCAAAGATTTGTCCACGTTCACTATCATTCCAAATAGGCCAAGGAAATCTGCAATCTCAGACACTTCAATTAGTCTGTAGAAAAGAACAAAAATGGAGTCGTCTCCAAGAACACAATCTCTGGCATTCAGATAGCCGATCGAATCTAGGAAGGAGTAAATTAAAATTAGCTCACAAATGCTTCCTATGAGGCTCGAGTAGGGTGAAAATGGGAATTTAAGGACAGTAAAATATCCAACAGCGTTGCCAGATGGTGCACAATAATACGAATTAAATTACGGTGTTGTATGGCGGGTATTGTACAATATGGCAACGCTGTAAAAAAAGAAGTATTATATGTTGCCCCTTCGCTGGTCGTTTGTTTGCTGATCGTTTGTTCGCCGGTCGTTTGTTCGCCGGTCGTTTGTTCGCTGGTCGCTTGTTCGCTGGTCTTGTTCGGTGGATGCTGCCCGATGCTGGGATCGGGATCGCGATCGCGACCGGTAGCGGCGATTGGATCCTGATCCTGATCCCCGATGCTTTGGCTGCATTGCTCCAAAAATGCGCACTATCTCCTTCGGCTCCTTTGGCACCAACCTAACCTAATCTTTTGACGATGACACCTATTAACACCGGTGTCTTGTTGTTAATTCTAATGAAGACCTGTTCATCAGTCAAAAATTGGTGGGTTGAAATTTCTCTTGATGTGGCGGGTAACAATTGCGTTAACATGGTACAGGGGCGAAAACTGAGTAACATTTCGTTTGGGGATTTGAGGGTAACAGTGCTAGGGGTGTTGCGATAGTTGAATAAGAACAAACTTACAATCTGGTACAAAGAGGGTGAAGTTGCAGTGGTTGACATCAGAATTTTTTCGAATCCTCGTTTATTTAGCTATTTGGGCTCCTTTTTCTGCAAGACCATCAGACTCTGGGGAGTATGGTGGGGAATGCAATCTCTGAATGTTAAACTTAGTGCATAACGTCGCATATGCTTGAGAATCAAAGGGAGGTCCGTTATCGCTGACTAGAGTTTTAGGTAGACCAAGAAAAGCAAAATCTGTAAGTCCAAGAGGAGAATTTTCGTCATCTGAGATGATGTTTTTTTTTATGATCTTAACATTGCCTTTTTTAGCTTCTATTAGCGTACTCGCTATCTTTTCTGGTGAAAACCAATACGTTTGTTCTTTAGAAACCTCAATTTTACCTTGAATTTGAGCAAAGACAGTTGCCGTCATTTGTTCTGTTAACAAAACAGCATTTTTCAGGAAAACATCATAGAATGGAGGAAGAGTGGGCTTTTTAATAATCCATGTTCCTCTACTTTCTTTTATGCTGTTATATCTATCAGGATATATATCATACCCTGATATTATAGTTTTTGGTTCCTGTGCATCTGTGTTGTAATATTTTTCTTCTAACCTTTTTTTTGGTTTCATTTTCTTGCCAAAGACTCACTCCAAGAAAATATTCCTAGAATTTCCGTATGGTTTTAAGATTTTTTTTTGGGGGGATACCGGTTATCAAGATTCAATCCAAGAAAATTTTCTGAAGACTAATCCTAATTGCAGTCAGCTTAGTGTTTCTGCGGTTCCTTTGTTTCGGCTAGCAAGTGCTTTTGCCACTTGTATCCAATCTAGTTTAAACAAAGCATAATATAAGCATATATGAAACGGTTTTAACAGGAAGTAGGTGTGACATATATTCATGTCATATCGCTGTGAAGTATATATAGAGATTATATCTAATATAATGTTAATTACATACTATGAGAGGTAAAATTATATAGTACACAGCTAATATTAATGAATATTTAATATCTTAATGAACTTATTTTGATAAATTTTTTTATCCGTTACCATTATTTCTGCACATTCGTCTATGTTGTTGTGTGTAGCCCATTTCTTCCATCTCCACCCTCAACTTATTTGGGGTAGAGAGAAATGAGTACCTTATGTTACCCACATTTACTGTGTGGGCAGAGCTGTAGGACATAATCATAAGAAATGTATGAGAAACGTTGGTAATGACATTCTCTATTTCTTCACCCTTCAGCAAATGTGGGTAGAGAGCCATGTTTACCCATTACATTCAATTTTGTCTACTACTATAGAAGACTTTTCAAATGAGAAGACTTTTTAAATGACACATTTTAATTGTTTATGTATGTCATTCATATTACCTTCATTCCCACCCTCGGGGGGTAAAATCCTGAAAGAGACAAGTTTGGAGCAACAGCACTTAGGACCAACATGCAGTGAAGTTTTGAAAATTATACTTGAAAAGGTGCCATGATATGGAATGTAAACATGTAATTTCTTTGTGCATGTAAGCGACCCGATCGCAGCGGTGCACTAGCTCCTCTCCGTAGGATCTGTTTCAGAATGGTTTGTTGTAGTTGTCGAGTTCTTCCTCGTTATAGGAAACATTACCCAACAATTCCTACAGTTCCAAGTGTGCAGGGATTCGGGTGGGCGCAAAAGATGAGAAGTAAGCTACAGTGGACTCTTTACAATCCTCAAGAAGGTTAATTGAACTTTCCTAGAACTTACCAGTATTTTGGTGCCCCGTACAGTAGGACGTTGGCACTCCACAGGCGCATATCCTCAGAATGCCATGGGAAGGAGGAGCCCCAAACTCCAATGAAGGAGGTTTTACTGGTAATGCCCTCGCCCTCCACGAACTGGTCGAGCAATGATGGGATGTTGTCCACGTTGAACACCTGAAAAGAGACAACAGGGTAAATGATTACTCACCACTCCAATCACTCTCAGAGGACCAAGGTGACATTGAAGATGTCAGGAGTGTATGGACCAATCGCAACCTGCACGATAACTAGGGGGAGAGTATGGATCAAAACGAGAGAGCCAATCAAGTGTTCATTCGCACAACTATGAACTCTCAATTGCAACATTGCAGTATGTTCCAACGAATTTTTCATAAATACCGTGTAACATAACTTTCAACAATTAAAAAGATCTACACAAACAGACGACAGGACTGTTTGGTGGATAGATTTTTGGCATGGGAAGGGGAGTCGCTACCACTTAGCATAGGTGTCGCTGCTGCACTAAAGGCCAGGGCTATAAGGAAGTACGAGCAACATTCAGGAAGTGTCAAACTACTTGACCAGGAGTTTTATTGTATTCAGAATACCTCCAATTCCAAGCACGAAGCGGAAAGCATTTCTACCCCAGGATTTCTGGGGTAGGAAGTCAGGTTTGCCAATTACATTCAATTTTGATTACGACTGTAGAAGATTGTTCAAATGATACACTTCAATCATCTATGTATGTCATTCATATTCTTTAATTCTCCACCCTGAAGCGGATAT